ATTTTTTAATACATTTTATACATAAAAATATATGTTTTATACCTATTTTAAATGTATTTCACAGCAGGACAGCTGAGAGCCCAGGGCTGATGGTAGGCAGGCAGCTTTTTGCTCCTGGTGTACCACCAACACTTGGACTATGCTCTTCGTATGCAGATCAGTGGGGGACAGAGCTATTGGATGAATAAACCTGCAGAGGTGGCCAGCCTGACAGAGCTCACCCCTAGTGCCATGGTTAAAAATTAACATCCTGGGCTAAAAGGAGAGTTCCTCATTCCTTGAGAAGGGCTGAGAAGCTTCTCTCAGCTCGGTGGTGCTTTGCTGCCAGATTTCTGCTGTGCTTTGTATGGTAACTCCACATGCAGTGAATATCAACTGCTCTTGTGAGACCCCACCTGCAGTGCTGGGGCCAGCTCTGAAGCTCCCCACACGAGGAGGACGTGGAGCTGCTGGAACAGGTCCTCAGGAGGCCATGGAGATGATGTGAGGGCTGGAACCCCTCTGCTGGGGCTCTCCAGGCTGAGAGAGTTGGGGTTGGGCAGCCTGGAGAGGAGAAGGCTCCAGGGAGACCTTCTGGTGGCATTTCAGCATCTGAAGGGGGTCTGCTAGAAAGCTGGGGAGGGACTTTTTATGAGGGGTTATAGTCATAGGACAAGGGGTAATGGGTTCAAACTGAAGAGGAGAGATTTAGATTAGAAATGAGGAAGAAATTCTTCACTGTGAGGGTGGTGAGACACTGGCCCAGGTTGCCCAGGGAAGCTGTGGATGCTCCATCACTGGAGATGTTCAAGCCCAGGCTGGATGGGGCTTTGAGCAACCTGCTCTAGTGGGAGGTGTCCCTGCCCATGACAGGGGGGTGGAACTGGATGATCTTTAAGGTCCCTTCCAACCCAACCCATTCTATGATTCTACAAAATTATTTATGAATTAAATGTATGAATTCTAAAAAGCAATGACACCAAAAGCATCATTAAAGTCCCATATCATTTTAAACAAAAAAAATACACCAGACCACATCATAAAAGAACAGAAATTAAATAGATTTGAAATGTGATTAGTGCTTTAAAGTTCTGAATCAAGAAATCTTTAATTTAAGAGGAACAACAACATCATAACACTGCTCCAGAACAGGTATTTTCTTCTCCCAAGGAATTCTTTGCCATTTTAAATTCATTAAACTTCAATCTCTCAATGTCTTTACAGTACAACCCAGTCTCAAGCTTCTTGAAGATAGCTCACCAGGTTTATTTAGCAGCACTGTTAAAACAGACTCCTTTCAAAAGGTTAATTAGAGCAAGCATAACATGGAATAATGACATTATAATTAATAGAAATACTCTTAATGGAATCTCTATTACTTTATCCTATCAATAGATTATTATCTTTCTTTTCAGGCTTCACACAGATAAAACAGAGACCCTGGTGCCTAGTTTTCCTGAAATTAGATAAATTTGGCTTCAATCTTCATGTTAAGCAATGTATGTTCTGATGGATGTCACTTTGTTATTGCCTTTTGTCTTTATTTAGGTCAGTCTGGGCAGAATAAAAGAATATATTCTCTTGCTTTATAGCCCCAGAACAGATTTGCTTCAGTATTACTCCCTTTACATATCCACTGCTTCACTGAAATGAACCCTTATTCAAGATATTTGTTTCCTTCCTGTCAATAAAGATTAAAAAAAAAGGAGTTACTGCATGGAAAACTATGGAATTTAATTAAGAATTATTGCCCTTCCTTAGAAACTCATCTATTGGCAGTAGATAGAACCTCAGGCAGCAGATAGACCAACTCAGTGTTTTCAGAAAGTGCACAAAGAATTTAAAAGAGGCCTCAGAAGAGCTCGTGGGTCCCTCTTGAGCAAATTTGAACACAGAAGGAATATTTTATTAATTTAACCCTAAGACACAGATTTAGCAAAAAAAATTCTCATCAGTTTTTCAGAAGAAAAAGCAAGAAAAGACCAGAAAATCTTGTCAGAGAGTAAAAAATGCCCCTGAAAGCAGTACTGCTCCAGAAGGGGTCTCCAGAGCCGTGGCTCCGAGAAGCCAGTTTGGTGAGAGGCTCATAAATCACCTGCCGACAGCTCCTCCCGGCCCTTGCCGGGCTGGCTGAGGTGTATCCATGGCAACACCTTTTCTCCTGACCAAAGTTCAAGGATTTTACATTTTTATGACCATCCTTGTTTGCTTAAAGTTTAGCAGGGTGACTTTCTGCTGGCGCGGAGAGCAGATCCCGGAGAGCGAGGAGGAGGAGGAGGAGGAGGAGAGGACCTCCTGCCACGAGGACTACCAGCAGTAAACACCCTCCTCTGCTCAAAAAGCTCTCTCTGACAACATGCCCTCCAGGAAAAAAGCCTCCCTGTTTGCATCTGCCTTCGTGAGCTGCGTGTGCTCCTTTGGGATGGTCTGTGTGGTGCTGGCCACCCAGCAGTGGATGAGCAGCCAGCTCCGCTTCTCCAACAGCACTGTCAGCCTCACCTATGGGCTCTTCAGTGGGACCTGTGAGCAGTTCGTCGACCCAGGACTTCAGGTTTCAGAGAAAGCTTTCCAAGGTGAGTGGAGCTACAGCTGGAAAGGGATGGGGTCTTCTTGCTCGTGCAGGTGACAGACGTAGGAGCCGTGGCTCGTTCTTGGACCAATCTGTGACTATAAGACCTTAAGTGAGAACAAAAATATTTGTAAAGCAGATTTTAGGTGATATTCTTCACTCTGAGGGTGGTGAGACACTGGAACAGGTTGTCCAGGGAAGCTGTGGATGATCCAGCACTGGATGTGTTCAAGGCCAGGTTGGGTGGGGCTCTGAGCAACCTGCTCTAGTGGGAGGTGTCCCTGCCCATGGCAGGGGGATGAAACTGGGTGATCTTTAAGGTTCCCTCCAACCCAAACCAATCTATGATGCCATGACTCAAAGTGGTTTCAAAGTGGTTTAAAATAAGACCTCCAAAAGCACAGATGTTCTGCAGCTTCCTTGCCAATAACTCCTCCTGAATCTCTGGGGTCTGAGCCTAGGCCATGGAAGAAGAGAAAAATACAGAATAGGACCTCTGTAGAAAATTGCTCTTCATTTTCAGAAGCTCTCAGTGAGGAACAGAAAGCAACATTCAATTACCATTTTATTAAACAATTATAAACCTAATTCACTTCCCAGGACTTAAAAAAATGTTAAATTAATTGTTTGATTTAAAACATTTAGCCACCTCCTATCAAATTAGCACCATTTTTCTAGAAGAAGCTTTTCTGAGGCTGCTGAAGGAGAGAGAACAGATGGTGTTTATACATGTGCTGGACCTACACCTTAATGATAATATTCCCTTTATTTTTTTTTCCTTTAAGAGCACCTCTTTCCATTTTTCAGGGGTATTATCAAATTTCACCATTTGGCTCAGAATTTCAGAACTTAGGCTTGCTCCTGTCTTTTTGTCTCATGCTAGGCTGCAGAGTAGGTGTTACAACATAGCTGGGCAGCTTTTATGAGGCCTTTTTTCTCCCCCCCAACTCATAGCTTTCCATTGACTCCTCATCCTCATGACTTTCCAAAAAAAAGCTCTGAGATGAAATTTGGAAACATATTAGAACAACATTTCAGCCAACATCAAGCAGATTGATATTAAACCCTGTCTTCTGTTGATAGGCAACAGATCTTACCTTCTGTCCATCTGCAGTGCTTGGTATTGAGCTTCAGCAGCAGAATTCTTAAAGGAGAAGAATTAAAATGGTTGAACTCTTGAGGACAGAAGAATGGGGAGAGAAGGGAAGAAGGATGCTACTTGGGAATAAAATAAAAATAAGGGGAAGAGCAGGAGGGGGTCTGCTCAGAGCAGCCTTGGAGAAAGTTATGATAAATATGAGAAATGATAGCATGAGAAGCAAAACAGAAACAAGAAACTATACATACCAAGCACAAAACACAGTCTGGATACTAATTTCACACAGCTCAGCAAAAATTTCCTTAACTCAGTGCCCAAGGAGCTCAGCTGAAGTGAGGAGAAGCATTCTCAAAGGTAGATAAGCCTGGGAGCTGTTGCAAGGATCAAGGACTTGCACTCGTGTTATGTACCCTGCTCTCTCCCCAGGTTCAGAGCAATAAAGCTGAGACACGTATGACAGTGAAAGAAAAACAGTCAAAAGAAACCTCAGGAAAATTGGGAAGAGTGGGTCAAAATTTTGAACTGTGAGATGGACTTGGAAATATTTTTCTTTTCTGGTGGGCTTCTCCCAGCAGAGAGAAGCCACCAAGTCAGAGCACAAGCAAACCTCAGCCTCCAGATGGTTCCCACCTCCTGGTTCTTTCCCAGCTTGATGTAGTCCAGGAATTGGATCTGGACAAACAGGCACCCAATTTTAATTACAATTAATGACAAGCCCTCACAGAACACTTCCACCTGTAAAGGATTTGGGCTTTTTACATGGTCTACATGCATTCTGGTGGAGGTGGTGGCTTTCTCTCCACCAGATTTAGGGGTTTGTGCTCATCATCTACAAAATGTCATCTCAATTCTCACATATCAGTCATTTAAGGAGGAACAAAGGTGACCTTCAGGAGTTGCTTTTGCTTTCAACAGCTGCTGGGAGTAAGTTGTGCTTTATGGATAGTCCAGACATCCCCCACTAGTTCAGTTGGGCCTATAGCCAAGATTAAATGATTTTAAATTAATCCTTCAGCTTTTTACTGGGCATGATTGTCACATTTTAAGTGTGATTCTATACGTTCTTGAAATAGGAAAAATCCTTCACAGTATTACATATAGACTGCCTTGAAATTCAGATAGCCAGCTCCTCCTGAGACAGTGGATGTCTTTCCTTGGAAGAGATCCTCAGCTGAGTAACTCTTCCTTTGGAAACCACAGTGTCAAAAACGTTTCCAAGCATAAAGTCCAACACAGGCACATGGTTTCTGCACGTGGACAGGGTGTGAGCTGCCTGCCCAGGGCAGCCTCTGCAGCAGGCTGCCACCAAAGCCCTTAATAGAGCAATTAATCAACGTGGCTACTTCAGAGGCTCTGGGGATGAGCTGAGTGAGCTGGCAGGATGTAAAAGTCCTTCAGCAACCTCAGCCCTTAGTCTTCATTAGGTGTTTTAATGATTTTGCTCAGAAAGGAACAACCTATGACTGGAGCAGCCTGTACCAGAGCTCGATGACAGTTTTGCTTCTTTCCAAGTCAAACACATAAAAATTGTGAGCAGGGTGCAGGAAGAGCCACGACCAGAGTCCTGGAAAGTCAGGATTTATCTGACTACTGGCAACAAGCAAGGCCAACAGCACTGAGATTTGCTACAGCAGAGAGGAATCTATTAACTTTTTAACTGGTAAAATACATAAATGCTTGAAAATCACTGGAACTTCATCCATGCCATCAGTTTCCAGACCTGCTGTGGGATTTCCTGAGAAGTAAAAAGCCAGGTTGAACTCCACTTGGGTTTTTTTTTCCCCTGTTTTCTTTTCTTTCTTCTTTAAATGAACAATTCCTCATGTGTCATAAGTGGTCATAGACCTAAAAGCTGCCAGAGGAGCACTATGTGGAAAGACCTTCAGCCTAGCAGCGGGGTGTCATTCACACCCACAGCAGTAAAGATTCAGGGAATTCTAGCTAACCTTTTTTATGGAATAAAAGAAGAGACATGAAATTAAGGAGAGACCTGGAGAAGGCAGAACCCTCTGCTTTCCTTCTGGAATTAGGATGTTTAGCAGTGGTGCAGAGGTTTTCCAGCTGTGGGTTACTATCGATCCCATTCAAGCAGATCAGCTGCTGTGGATTCCCTCAGTTCCCTTCATTTAGAATTAAAAAAAATCCCAAATCTGCCAGCACAAAACCAGCATTTTATCTTAAACCTTTAGTCCTGAGCTGTTGCAGAGGCTTAAATCAGCTGGAGGCTGGCAAAATGCCATCTCCTAACCTGCAGATCTCTCTCAGAGAGAGAGAGGATCAATTAGGGGGTGCAACAGTTGTAGCCAGTCAATTCTGGAGATGTTCTGAGTGATAAAACAAAGTGAGGCTGCCAGAGGGACCTTCCACAAACCTGATTCAGCTCCAGACTTCTTTCTTGACCCAGGCCATGCCCCAGCAGCAAGACTGCTTCACCACCACCCTGTGGTGCAACCAGCTCTTCCCCACTGAACTGAGTGATGTCTCCTCAAAGCTTCTCGTTCCTATTCTTCTAGGAGAACTGCTTCAATTTACATCTCATTTCCCTACCACATCCTCACCTGCCACTTCCTCAAACAGAAATTAACTTCTACCAGCAGTATTAAATGAAACTGAGAGCTTCCCTCTTATTTTATACATTTCCAGCAGCTCTTCTTGTTATGGGCATTTATTTTCTTTTTACATTGTTGGGTATTTTTTACTGTTTGGGGTTTTTTTCTACATTTTTTTTCTACATTTTCTCTAACTGATGCCCTACCTGGATCCTTTGCATAGTTTCCTTTCCAGCACAGAAAGGAAGTTCTTCTACAGGAGTCTGTCTGCCCCAACATCCATTTGAACTGAGCTTGAAAACGTTGTTGCATTCACATTTCTCTCTCTTCTTATCAGCAACACAGCAAATAAGAAAGATTGAGGCAAAACTAGTGAAACAAATTAGAGTCCTGGAGGGGTTGGCTGTAGGTACCATGTATATATGTCCAATCTGGCCTTGAAGGACCATGCAGAGTTACTATGGCCTACAAATACACCTGCCCCTCCTGGCTAACAGCTCTCCTGGACTTCAAGGAGCTTTTCACCACGCCAGATTTATTCCATGGGAGGGGACTGCTGCTATATTAAGAGGAAATCCCCTACAGTTGGAGCCAAGCTTTAAGCAGACATCTGTAGGAGTTACCAAGCACCTCAGGAAGGATGAGCAGTGCAACACCTAGTTTTATCATCCAATTTAGCCATGAAATTTCTGTCTGGCCACATCAATAAAGATTAGGGAAGAGGAGTTTCCTGCCCAAGCAGGTTTGTGTCCCTGCAGGATTAGCAGACACACACTTATTTCAGCCTAATGTGCCCTCACCCCATTTCAGATTTGGGTTTCATGTTGTGTCCAAGCCTACTGTCCCTTCTACACCCCATTCTGTACAGATCAGCCCCATCTCTGGCTGTGAGCTGTAATTAGAGCCATGTTAATAAGGTCATGCAGGCTCACTGGAGTGTGCTGGGCAGGGTGATCACTGGTGCTGAGCCTCTGTGTCTCAGTTGCAGGTAACCTGGGAAGCACCAAGGCAAAGAGCACGATCACTGCAATTATTGTCATCCTGGTCCTCAGTCTGCTGAGTTCCCTCCTGAGCTCTGGATTTACCTGCACTAATGCTGTCAGCAATCCCTACCAGACTTTTTTGGGACCTATTGGAGTCTACACCTGGAATTCCTTATGTGGTGAGTAACACGCCCATGCTTGTTTGATGCTGGGTTACCTACATCCCAAATTAATCTCCTAAGGCTTAATCAATAGTGAATGAAGCTAGAGTCTAGCCAAAAATCATCTTGAATGAAACACATCATTAATATGAGGGGGTGGTGGCTGTTAGGAAGACTAAGTCATGGCAAAATCTATTTCCTTCTTCAAGAAGCACTTTCCTAAAGCAAAATAAGCTTTAACATTCCCTAAGGAGAAAAAGAAATGGTGGAGATGCTGATTTCTCAGAGGTGTGGACTCTGTTAAACAGCTCCCTGGAGGTGTCACCCCTCCTTCACCTGTAGCTTTGAGCCTCCTGCTCCAGATGCACCTTCCTAGCTCTTCATCTTGCTGTGGTGATGACTTCAGCCCCCAGACTCCAGTCATCTCAAGAGGATTATTCACTCCTTTAACTTGGAAAATTTTCTTTAAAGCCAGCTGATTGCAGAGTCCTTCAGCAAGGGTGTTTTGTCCTCTAAAAGCTCTTCAGATCCAAAGATGCTCCACTGGCAAACTGGGAGCTTGTTCTCCCTTGAGCCATGTCCCCAGCAGCATCATCCACCAGCTGCCTGTGCCAAAAACCAGCCCTTGGTGGAAACCAACCACAGCCCAGGTTGCTCAGGGGTTTATCCAGTGGGGATCCTTCTTGTCCCATGAATTTGGGCTCACATCAGGCAGGAATTCTGCAAATCACCCCAGGGGTGATTATTATGCCCATAGGTGCTAAATGTCATGGGAAAAACACCCAAATCATTAAATGGCTTTATCTAAAAATAGTCAGTGAGAATCCATTAATTTTAGCATGTTTTTACCCATGTCAAAATACTTGGCAGATACTATTAAGGGAGACAAAAGTCCTTCAAACACCCTCATATTTTAATCATAAAAAAAAATAGTGGATTAATCTTTGTCTTAGTCCAGATATTGCAACCAATTTAAGCAGAATCTTTACAAGCAGCTCCATAAATACAACAGTTCTCCCCCTAACATTGGTGTTGATATTTTCTAGGCATCTTCACCCTTCTAGCCATGATCCTGTTCCCTGTGAACGTGGAAGGACACGAGCTGTCTGTGGAACTGGCTCGTGGATGTTTTCCTTTCCTGCAGACACACGTGGAATCTGCACACACCTATGGCTATTCATACTGGCTCATGCTTCTCATCCTCCTCCTGAACATTATCTCTGCCTTCATCATATATATCTACGACCATGCAAGATATTCTAAGAAGAAAGAGCAGGAAAGACCCATTCAAAATGCACCGAAAGATGTCATTCTGTTTTGAGGATACTCCTGAAAAAAAGTGTGAAGAAAAATGACTGTTTAAGGTGGACAATCACAGCTGAGCTGCTCCATTCCCAATGAAGCTCCTAGAAGGGTTCCTCCTCTCCATACCACCCCCACCAGCACCTTCCCCAGAGGAATCCTGCCCTCCTACCCATGCAACACGGGTGGGCTGGTTCCCACCTCTGCCTCCTGAATTCTTCTGGACCCCAGGACAGGTCCCCAGCAGCTGCCCTGGCTCTCCACAGGGACACTCCACCCTCAGCACGATGAATGAGCTTGTGCTTCACCCTTTGGGTCCAAGTGGGAAGATCAGTGACATTATTTTGATTGTGTTTTGGGATCTTGAGGGGCAGAAAGTGCAAACACTGAGAAACCTGAGGGTGATGAGAGAATGGTCCCTAAGGTTTGGTGCTTCATTTTCTCCTGCAGTTCTTCCTTTCCCTGCTTGGGGATCTTCTTCCACAGGCCCCTGTGGCACCACCCCAGTGACTGGGGGCAGGGTTGTAGGCTTCTGTTCATGGACAGGAGTGGGAGAACTTGGACAAACCCACCTGTGGCCTCTCCCCTTCACAGCAAACCTCCAATGGCAACAGCACCAACCCCTTCTCATGCCTCCTTGGTGCTTTCATCCAGGGCTGGGGTGGCAGACATGGTCCATAGCCTACAGAAGAGGAGGCCAGTGCCTGTATGTTCATTTATTTACAGAAATATGATCAAAATGCTGTTTCAGGGTACTGATAGACCCTTGACCTCTGTTGACAGCAAGGCCATACCTTCAGCAGGGGTGGCTGGTGGTTTCCACCCACTATACCAGACTCCTTTTGCCCTGACACAAAGAGTGAGCTTTGGTAGTGATGAGTTGTGGCCATTCCCACCCCCGTGGCTGGCTGAATGAATATTTAATACCCCCAGGAAGACACACAACTGTACAACTGCACAGAAGTGGGGAGCTCCAGCCCTGCCCAGATGAATGTGACCTTGGGACAGGTGCCATCATGCAAAGTCATGTTTAGTGCACGTGGCCCAGGAGGAGCTCACCCTGTGGTGGTCAGAACCTTCTGCTCCTTTGCTCCTCACCCCTGCAGCTAGTAAATTTTTTTTAATGCTTTGTTTTTCCTTCACAACACCATTTCCAGTCACTCTTCAGAGCTGTCCTGTGAGGCAAGAGATGCTCACGGAGGAAAAAAAGCATTTCTGAAGAGAGGGGGTGAGAAGACACAAGAGGGGACTTGTTATTTATGTCAAAAAAAATAAAGTTTCAGGATTCAAGTGCTCAGTATTCAGCTGTGCTCTTTGAAAGGCACCAGAGCAGAGAGCTGCTCCATCCTGCTTAAGCATTGGACTAAAAGTCTGATGAGGGCACTGAAAAAAATAAACGTGGGTTGCTGAGACCTCAGGGGCAGCACAGGTCAAGGAGATCAGAGCTGTTATCTGCTCTCCCCTGCTGACAAGGGCCATGCCCAGAACTGCTCTGCAGTGCTGGAAAGCTGCAGTCCAGCCCTGGGGGATGCTGCACCCTCCACAGCAGGGCTGGCTGGGAGCCAGGCACTTGCCAGTTTTGCTTGGGCTGCAAAAAATTCTCACACAGCTTCAGCAGACATCTGTCAGTGTTGTGCCCAGCCAGCATCCAGCACAAAACACAGTTACACTGAGAGCAGGCACTTGCTCACAGAGAAACTCATTGTAATAGAAGAGTAGAGGAGGAGCCAGGGCTCCTGCTTGGCTCAGCA